TTTTTTTTTTTTTTTTTTTTTTTTTACATTGTAGTTATGCTTAGCTAATGTTGTGTTTTTAAATCTGTAGATGCATTTGGTGATTTGTTGATTTGCACTTCAGGCCGTCTGCACAGCTCCTTCTCTGTGTCTAGTTTAAGAGTAAGAAGCAAATTTAAACTCAGGTTTATTATCCTAAAACAGCTTTATTCATCTGCCCTTTAGTGTAGTGCAGAATAAATCACAACCTTACATTTCAGGTTGGTAAAAAGCTTCTGTCCATGTAAACAAGAATGAAAGCACAGTAATTAGTTACCTGATTGAGAATGGTCCCCGCTGCATCTGTCTTCCTTGTTCATTTTGAGGACCTGACAGAAAGCGATAAACCAGAGTTCAACTCTTTCTCCACATCACCAGACAGATCAAGAGTGTTGTTTTTGATCAAACTTACAATAGGCAGGACCAAACCCAGTCAACATCAGGTCAGTGCCTCATTGCTAGTACCTAAGCTAGTCCTAACTGCGGTGGTCAGTGTTGTTGTGGATGTGTCCCATAATTCCAGCTGCTCAGCGATTCTCTTGTCGTTTCAACGAAACGATGAATTCAGATTACTCCTTCTATGTTCAAACTTGTAGCTCACGCATGCGGCTGACAGTTTGTTCGGTACGAACATAACCTTGGCGTGTTTATCACGCCAAGGTTATGTAGTTATGGATGTGCAGGGCCTCTAATCTGGTTATAGAAGATTTTCCTCACCCAGTGACTCACTGTACCTCTGCACAGCACAGACGAACAAACAAACAGGCACAGTTATGTAATGATCAACGTGTGTCTATGAACATAATGTAAAGGATTTTAATTGAAATTTTCAGGTGGAAAACTTAGAAAATAAGTTGCTATTGCTAAAAAACACTGAGATTATTTGAATCAAATTTGAAGTTAAATACATTTTGTAAGAGACAAACAGTTCAAAGTTAGGATCAGCTGCTGCCATGTCTAAGAATTTTTATTCCCCAAAAAGCTGGAACGGTTTGTAATAATTTGGCTTTGGCGAGCCGCTGACTCACCTTGTGCATGAAACAGAACAATGAGCCAAAGCTGCGGTATAAATAGCTTTGGCACCTGGTTTCTAGCCTTGGTGGGCCTTAGAGGGAGATAGTGGTGCTTAGCTGTAGCTTAGCATGGTATGACGGTATTGGCCTGCAGCTCAGCTGAGGGCAGCAACACGTCTGCTTCATGGTGGCCGCATGGGGCTCTGTGGTCCTGGAAGCATGTCGGGCTATCCCCCCTCCCCCCCCCTCCCCCCCCCGAAGATATTGTATTTAAACTTGACAATTTAGGTTTAATTTCAAGCGCTAACTAAAATTAGCATTTCAAACAATATAAATCAGAGAACTTTTTGCCTTGCAGTTAAAGAATATTGGTCCCCTTTCTTCTGTTTTGATTTGTTGATTTACTTTTAGATATTTCAGATCTGTAAGCTGCCACAAACATTAAGTTTACACTTTTGTCTCATCAATTTGCAGAATATTTTCTCAAAAAGTCTTATGGTGAGAGGAGGCTTTGACTTGTGTTTGGTCTGTCGCGTTTTTTTTCCTTGGAACTCTTTTCTCTGGTCTCTTTCCAATTGTTGAATTAGTGACAGATAATTCAATGCCTCATCAGATGCCATTCAAATTTCTGTGACCTAATGGATGAGTTTCTGATGCACTCCTGTAGTAACTTTGGTCGGCCGATAAAGTCCTGGGAAGTTTCACTCCTGTCCTTTTTCCTCTCTTTGTGGATAATGGCTGCCACTGTGGTTCACTGGTGTCCAAAAAACATTAGAAATAACTGTAACATTATCCATATTAATAATTATCAATGGATTTGCTTTTCATCTGTCCTTAAGAGTTTTTAGATTGGACCATGATGTCTTTGAGATCTTTAAGTTTAGCTGTCAGGCAACTTCTACTTGAGAGATTTCTTGACTCTACAGGTCTGGCAGTAGTCATGCCTTGTGTCTAAAGTCAGAAGTAACATCGTTTTTCTGGAACTAAATTTTTCTCTGGACATACGACAGCAAAAAGAATGAGCTTTTTTCCTGAAGTTGTGTAACCCAGTTGAGTGGTACTCATAAAGCAGCAACCAATAATTAATAGACTTACTTTGTACATCATTGTAACTCTTCCTATCTCCAAACCTAAACTGAAAAGGCTAAATAAAGTATGTTAATCCAACTTTCTGGCATATGAAAGTCTGGATACCCAACATAGCAGCTCAAATCTCTAAAACCTTTAGCCGTATGAAGGATGCGTAGAGAACTCAGAGGAAAAAAGTGTAATCACCTGATTATTGTTGTCGGTATGAGCTCGCTTGATGGCTACGAAATGTCGAATTTTTCTGTTGGCAGAAGGAATCTGTCAGAGATTTTCAAATTTCTTGTTAAACTGCAGAAGCTATTCTTGGATTGCATAGATGTAGCTCACCCTCCCTGGCCGATGACAGGCAGTATCTTCACTTGCTGCTGAATGCTGTCGCCTGACTTCTTCCTGGCAAAGTAAATGCCTTGCCATTCCTTCAGACACGACAGAGCGACCAGGCTGATTAAAAATCCTCCTGGGTTTACAAGCTCAACAGCAACAGATTGACAAATGGATCCAAAACTCACTTTGCCTTTTTTGATGCAGGTGTTGATTGTATCGAGTAGATCGGCTCTGTTCTTGTCGCTCTCGGGAAGCTCGGTCAGTTCTTTTCCGATCAACTCCCCCCGGTGGTATCCCATCATCCTCTCAAAGGCAGGGTTCACATACTGGGTCACAACCACGGAGAGATTAGAGTCACAGCACGGACGAACACTTTCCTGCTAACATCTCTGTGATTACTGGATGTTAACTTACTGGAAAAGTTAAAAATGGTCAAATCAAAATTAAGCAACAAGCTAGTATCAATGACATTGATACTAAAAAGGCCTGAAATTTCTTGATACCTTTATAAATAAACGGCCAATAAAGCGTTAAGCAAAAGAGCTATCAAAGATGTGACCACTTAAAAATACATTAATAGGCATTATTAACAAAGGTTCATTATAACAAATATTTATTAATAATAACAAAGGTTTATTAGTAATTAGTTAATTAAAACTGAAATTTCATAAATGACCCACACATTGATTAGGCTGTAAGAACCTAATAGCATTACAATTCATAGAAAATTTGTAATGTTTTACCAATAAATAGTTTTATTTTTATTTAGTGATCACAGTCAATGAATAGTTAATAAATCAATTGCTAACAAGAATTAAGCCCTTAACAAATACATAGTAATAATTACTAGAAGCTAAGTTATTATTTTATGAGCTCCTCATACATTACTAATAAACAATTACTGAAACAGTTATTTTCAAAGCAGTAAACAGATAATAAACCATTAGTAGGTACCGCTAATATGGCTAAATAATAATGGATTGATCAACTATTAATAATTTAACTAAATGTGCTAATGGTTCTCAGTTAAGGGATGAAAGAGTGAAAGGTCAGACATTTTATTCAAGTGTTATGGTGCGTTTTTTGCTAGCTATCTTATATAGACAGAACAGCTAGGCTAGCATAAATGTTAGCCATACGGCGTTTTCATATAAACAGGATTGTAAGTAAGAGGTAGATGAATAGACAGACAGAAAAAGAGAACGAGAGAAAAGAGATATAGAGACAGAGAAAGATATGAAGATAAATAGCTAAAGTTAAAGATAATTTAGAAAGAAATAGCTAAAGATAATGATAGATAGAGCTAGCTAAAGATAAGGACCGACAGATATATGTAATGTAAATCGCACCTGAATGATGTGATCTTCACTGGTGATTTCCACAGCCTCTTGGCAGTACTCCAAAGCCGTAAAGACAGAGTTGCAAGCCCTATGAATGAGTGAACTTGATGTAACTCAAAATGGCCAATGATTCTGCTTGTATCCGTTTGTGAGGACACTTGCATGTGCCGTACCTGAGTTTGAACTGGCAGCGCACCTCTCCATGCTCGATCTGGATGAGTTCGTTGTAGCACGTTGACACGCTGCTGTTCTCCACGAACCTCTGGAGTCCGACCCAGGTTAAGTGGTGTTTGAAGGAGAGGCAGAGGGATGAGAGGGGAGTGGGATGAGTCAGGATCTGAACAACTGCGACTTGTTTAGAAACCACCCACGTCATTTTCACACCGTTTAGCACGACAGGTAACACAACTCGCACTCAGAATGACAGTCATGCTTCTATTTTTGCAGGAAAACTCTAGTTTTCTATTAAAGTAAGCCCTTGAGCAGCATGCAAAAACACAGCTAAGAGGGGAGGTAAACTAGTTGGACATACTCTGCTAAATCCAGCGCAGAGGAGAGGGAGAACGGACGGTTCCTCTTGGTCCGGGAGTCTGTGAATTGGCAGAGAACAATCATTACAGTGAGTATTTATCAAAAACATAACAGAACCAAATCTAAAGTAGACACAAAAACCAAGAAAAGCTGATAGCTTACCTTGTAATAGAGTTTATACCTTTACAGATTTTTATCTCTTTACAGTCATACTTCATTGTGTATAATAGGGGTTTTATGTGGTTGACAAAAAGCAAACTAAAAAACAAAATTCAAACATGATTTTCAATTATTTACAAATAAAAATATTTCACTTGTACTCCTTCTCTCATACAAGTGAGGAGTACGTGTTTCAATACTCTGTGGAATCACCTACTTTTGGGGTATGTCTACCATTTATGTACAATTAGACTATAATTTTTGTCAAAATAGGTCAAGTCCAATCAGTTTGGATGGAGAACAGCTGTGAACATGATTGTTTTTTCTTAAATTGAGTTTCAATTAGATTAAGTTCTAATTGATTAATGGCTGATGGACCACTCTAACACATGACTATGCTATGTCTACACCTCGGTATCGTAGCTTTCACCCTCAAGCTCCAGAGATTTGTCCCATTGAGCTCAATTTCTCAAGATGCATTTCATCCTGGCCAGTGAGCAGAGAAAGAAGGAGGAGTTGTGGACGATTCATTTAGAATTGGTAACGGCAACAGAGGAAGTGAACGAAGCCAGTCGTCCGATTTGGCGACCCTTCCAAATATTGAGCAATTACAGTTGAAGCAAAATGATTATTTAAGGCATTTTATTGCTTGTTAGAATGTTGTGGTTGAACTGCCTATGGAGTTTGGCAAAAGTTACATTTTTTAGTTGGCTCTGTTAATGGCAAATGAGGTGGCACGCAATTTTTGGTAAGCCTCGTAGCACTTATAGCTTCCTTCCCAATGGATCTGAGACTTTACATACGTCACGGCAAATGTTGGACGTTATCAGATCCAATCGTTTAAGACTTCAACAGATTCCAACCAATCGTTTCTCAACAGCGAATAGTCCAGTCCCTCTTTATGAAGTAAGACGTAGAAAAAGGGGTTTGGCTTTTACCAGAGTAGAGCAAAGGAGTTGAATATGAATGTTGAAAGAGTCCAAAGACAACTAAAAACTTCAAATCCTTTTCCGTCCACTTCACAAAAATGTACATATTCCATAAAATCACCAAAATGTACATTAAACCTCGTGGTTATATTCAAATATATAGTACTTTTCCGAGACACCTTTAACCTACATACAGGTACTAATAAAAACGTAAAGCTTACTTTTGTGGTACGACAGCAAGTATAACTGTGCTTTCTGAGGGCTTTGTGGCGCGGATCATCCTGAAAATGAAGCACAATAAAAACTCAGCAGGCGAATCAACAACACATCATTAAACTCTGACGCTGGACTTTGGAGAGGTGGCTTGGACCGAGGAGCGGGACGGACATGTGGGCAGAATGGGGGTGATGTCACTGCCGGAGAAGAAGGACAGAACATTTCTGTGTTTAACACAGAAACACCAAATGCGGCTTGCGCTTTGGAGGTTTTGGCCAACGAGTCCACACAGCTGGCAGGAAGTGTGGGAAAGTGGTCTGGAGGTGGAGAAGCAACGAGTTGACAGTGATGGAGCACAAAAAGGAGCGACGGAGGGAACGGACGATGGCAGAAGTCCTCAGGGGAGATGATGATAGAAGGAAAAAAAATTATATTAAGGAAGGGAGTGATAGAGGCCAGGCACAGCAGGAGCCGGGACTGTGGTTATCACAGGACAGGGGAGACTATTGGGTCAGTTTCTTGGGAAAATTTCCAAAGGATGTACAATAGATCACTGGACGAAATACGTGGTGGTGAATTTCGCTACATTTTTCTAAATGGGCAAAGAACGCCCAGGTTTTGATGCCTCTGTTCGTTAATCTGCGCTTTGAGTGTTGCACTAAATCCAGACACAGATCTCACATTAAAGTCAACATGTCCAAAATACTCCTGTAAAGCCCGGCAGGAAGGGGAAAACAGTGAAAAATAGGGGACTAAAAATACCCTCGGAATAAATCCTCATGCATGCCACAAAGCAAGAGGGGACAGAAACACACACCAGCATGAACTTAACAGCTGCTACAGCGCTAGACGTAGAGCAGCTCTCTTGTCAGCAAATTAACTCATTGCTTAGTGATTCTTATTTTATCACATATTTCCGTTAGCCTCTTTTGGCTCATAACACCCTTATTTATCCTTTTCAAATGGAAAAAAAAAAAAAAAAAAAGCACTGGGCTCAGGGCTGTTTTAGGGCTCACTATGTTGCTGGTGCCTCCAGTGAACACAAGATGGCGCCAACGAGCCCTCACAACTCGAGCCGCTTAAGATTCAGGTAAAAAAAAAAAGAATGATATCAACAGAAGTTACAACATATTGGATACACTCAATTAATAAATTCTCTTTAGTGTCCAGTTTTCAGGTCTTTGAATTGAAACATGTCACATTTTAAAAGACAGAGAAGTATTTTTTTTCTATAGACATCCCGTCTTCCCCCATTTATTTGAGTCCAGACTCACCGGCAGACGGCTTCGGGCTCAAAGTAGCGCGAATGACGTCCGTCAATGACGATTATCTCGTGGTGCTTGTCCAGGAAACACTCCACGGCAGACTCGGGCGTCCGTGCGATGTTGCACCTGAAGCCGGCGCGGTCGCAGGCCCACCAGAAGGCATCGCTCTGGCTGTCCTCCTTAGCGAACACGAGCAGAACCTGACGAAGTCAAGCGAACCAGGACAATGTTGTGCGACTTTCACAGAGGCACCAAAATAGGTGAAGTTAAATTTTAAAAAAAAATTACATAATATGTTTTTACAGATAAAATTTTTCTTTCCTCATTGGTTTCAAATCTTTAAAATAATCTTCATACCCTGTAAACTTTTTAACTTGTAACATCACAGTGAGAAACTTCAGGGTATTTTAATGGGGGTTTGTGTGATAAATCAATGACATTTGCATAAATATTTTTTTTACACTCGTCCATATAACATTACATAAAAAACCGTAGTTGCAGGCAACTTATGTTTTAGTGTTTTACCCTTAGGCACAATGACAAGTGGTGAGAACAAAGTTGGACTCAAAAACATTTCTTTCCAATTGAATGTTTCTTCTGGCTTAGTCACAGCCGACCCGATCTAGTCGTTTTGACTGAGCTTTAGATATTTAGCAAAGCAGAATTTGTTTTATATTTACTAAAAACAAAGAAAAGAGAACCATGTATCATTTTTACCTCCACTTTAGTATTATGCAATAGCATAAAATCCCAAAAAATAATTGACATAGGCCTGCTCTGCCTCCTTCTACAAGGTATCATGTACAACTGTATTCTTGTTTCAGGTCTTTCAGGAACGATCTTGCTTCAATTTTTTCCAGGCGTTTTATTTAATTATTTTTTTTATTTTTTTACTGCAACTTTTCTTTTAGTTTCTACATATTTTCTTCAATTTATTACATCAATATGAAACAAACAAAAACTTTTTAAACTTTCCTCTCTTAGCTTCTCCACTAGTTTTCAAGAGCTAGTCTAGCTAGTTTTGCTAGCCATGTTTCCATCAACGTTTTCTAATGTGCTTTTTTAAGTATCATGTTAGAAAAGGTAGATGGAAATGGCAAAATTAGACATTACATCATCAATTTAGCAAAAATGTTGTTGCACTTGCTTCAGGTGTATTTTTTTTGTTTTTTGTTTTTGGCTTTTCCAAAAAAAAGAAGAAAAAAAAGAGTTAATACGCCAAAGAGGAGACGGAAATGCATTTGCCAAATAAATTTTGACATGACAAACTTCCACATCCACTAGTGAGTTCCAGCATGGATGGCAGGCTTGTCCATCGAGAGGCAGTCCTGACTGGGATAGGATTGAGGGAACGCTCCCATCCACTGGTGGGTCTGTGCTTTACGAGAAGCACAAAACCTGGACAAAAAGCCCACATCTCCACCCTGGAGGGGCAAACTCTCTTCCTTCTTCTGAGATGTGTGGTGTTCTGGTCCGCAGCCAGAACTAACAGCACTCGGCTCTGTTGGCAGCAGCATCACCTCCTGACTCCCTCCGAGGACAACAAAGGATACAGGGACAGAGCGAGAGTACGGCGGGTCAGCACTCAGAGAGAGAGAGAGAGAGGGTAGATGATGAGGGAGAGCGTAAAAGAAGCAGAGGCTGACTAAAGCCATGACTTTCCACAATCCTTGTGCTGTTTAAAAACCGTAAAACAGGAGAATTGTGTCGCATAGTGCTTTTACAGGTGGAAACAGATAAAAAACAAACACTGAATCTGATGAAAAAAACGAGTGGGGCTGGCACAAGAGGATAGAAACTGAAGCAGCGGTCGGAGGGAGAAGGTGGACTCTTACTTGTGAGTGCCTGTGAAAGGTCTACAGTCTTTGATCCCGTGCAGGCTTGTGTAACCATGATGCTAGCATGTGAAATTCCACACACAGGGGACCCCACGGACACCGGAGCACACACCTTCCACCCGGGAATGTTACCAGTAAAAGGCTGATAGGAGGCGCCGTTGGTCTGATGCGCACCGACGCATTTAGACAAACGGCTTCTCTGCGCCACACCATCAACGTTACGGCCACACCTTCATCTGCATGTCACTGTCTTTATCTTTATCCCTCTACATCTATATCTGTACGTGTCTCTCTATATCTGTACCTCTCTATATGTTTCTCTCTCTCTACATATTTATCTCTCTACCTATATTTAATCTACATTTTAAATACCACGCAAATCAAGCTAACCCAGCCACCCCTTGCTGACCTCCCTGTTTGCACAGTTAACATTCATGCTAGCCCAGTGGCTAATCCTCAACGGCCGCTGCTGGCTGCCTCACATTTCCAGAGTTCACCGGGTCAATCTGCCGTGTACGTCTGAGTGAGAGAGTGTTTCTAATTATTTGTCACTCCAGCTTTTGTGCCGTAATAAAAATTCTGTCCACTTGAATCATATCAGTCTTGTAAACCTGCTCAGAGTGTGAGTGGTGGTGTCTGGCTGATGTTACTGTAAAAGCTTATGGTGCAGTTTGTTTTCCTGAGGAGAGCAGAGAGGCCTTAAAAACACAAAGGACAAACAAAAGAAGTTGTAGCACATTTGAATTTTACTTTCGTCTGGTATGGTAGTTTAAAAGAGGAGCCACAACCCAATAAAGAGTTATTACCGATTATAACAAGCTTTTGTCAAAATGTTATCAAGCTGACAGTCATTATTAGAATGAAAAGGGACAAAAATTGCACTTTTCTATTTGATAGGTAGAAATTACCAAAGCTTATTAACGGCACAACAGCAAATTTTTTGTCTGCACAGTTTCACTTGAACTTTGTACAAACTTGATCAACATTAGAACCTTCACTTGTAGCAGGAGCTTAACGTGTCTCGTAAAACTTCACATCACCTTAATCTGTACGCATTTTGTCACATTACAGCCACGAGCTTCAGTGACATGACAGGAAATTGAGAAATGGTTTTCAGGGTAAAGATTTTTTTAACAAACAGAAGCCTGAATTGCATGCACGTGTATTCAGCCACCTTAAATCAAGACTTAACCCTAACCCTAATCCATAGCAACAGACTTTAGCTGAAAGGTGTCAGAGTAAAACGCCACATGTTGTTTAATAATAACAAAACCCCAATAAAATACATCAGAGATTGATGCTGCAACGGGACAAAATATGGAAGACTATCAGGGCCGTGAATACTGCGTAAGGCACTGCATGTTCTGCAACAGCTAGCATGAGTTAATAAAAGTTTTAAGCGACAGAATGATTGAAACTCCACGTTTTACAGCATGCTGCAGGTACACTGCAAATGGACGTCTGAGAAATACGATCGCCTAAGAAAGAGTTGCTTTCCTTTAACTCGGCTGTATCTGAAGTCCATTATTAGATGAAGGAAGTATATAGAGATTTTGAAACTGTCCAGGCCTGAGAGGCTGGACAGTTTCCAGGACAGTTTTCCTTGACAGTAAATGTCAAGGAAAAACTCTCAATATATTGCTCTCCCCTGCAGAGCTTTTTTTTTTTTTTTTTTTAAAATCTTTCTTTTCATCTCTATGTTCCTGTAGAGGGGAGCGGTGAGGACAAAGAGGGGTTAGGTCATGGACACAGGAGAGAGTTTGGAGTTACAGCCACAAATATGGAAGAGTGCACATTTTAGGGGAGCAGTTAAGGGTTTTATGGACCGTAAAAAAAAGGACTTTAAAACCTTATTTTAATAAAGCTCCCTCCACCTGCACAAATGTGTCTTGTCTGGTCTGTAAGATTGATGGACGGACACGAGCGGCGTGCCAGGCCTGAACTCAGAAAACCCTGGAGACGGGTCAAACGCCTCGCGCAGCTCGAAAATCCAGGCAAATCAAATCAAGGCAATAAACGAGCGCCTAATAAAGCGGCTCATTCCCCAACTCTGGGCCGAACCGCCAGGACAGAGGAATGCTTTGTGGCGCTCACATCCCGACCATCTGGGTAACCTCCACAAGCTTTTACTTCCCTCCTGCCCTCATTCCTCCCGTTACATAAGGATAAATCTCCCCGCCATACGTCCTAATCCGTAACCAGAGGATGAGCGCAGACAATCCCCGACTCAGAACCCGGTGCCTTGCGTTCTTGATGAAGAGAGAGGAGAGGGAGGCGCGGAAACGGCCCTCCAAAGAGGCCAACTCGACCGCAGTAATGAGAGTCAGCTCAGGACATGTTTCGCAAAAAAA